TATATATATATATATATATATATATATATATATATATATATATATATATATATATATATATCTGTGTGCGTGTGTCTGTGTGTGTGCGCGTGTGTGTGTCTGTGCCTTTGATGCACGTGCATGTGTGCGTGCGCGTGCAAACGCGCGAGAGAGAGGGAGAGAGAGAAAGACAGAGGCCGTTGGTGGGCTCTAGTCGCCAGGCACACAGTGGAAAGATGGCCCCCACTGGTAGGGAAAACCGGAGAATTTTTTTCCAAACTCATATCACCTATGCGTGGCGCGTCCTGAAAAGTTTACGTGTTCCAGTAGGGGCATACTGAAAAGATGTCAGGGCCAAGCCACGCCAAGGGGATTTCACAACATTTGAACTGCCCTGAGAGAATAATTTTTGAGGGGCTGTTTGAGGAGAGGGTGAGGCGGTCGTGAACTACCCTGAGAGGAGAGGGTAAGGCGGCTGTTTGAGGGTCATAATACAAATAAAACCATATTTGAGGGGGATAAGGAAAATTTTCCCATTTTTTCTTTTCGTGTGCGGCTGTGGCACGCTGACGCCAAGCCACTACTGCTGCATCGCAGGGCCGAGTTGTCAGAAATGAGGAACGCTCAGTTCCATGTGGCCACGGACACTAATCCGTCATCAACCAATCAATCGCTCAATAAGTGGAGCCGACAGAATCTGAGGAGGCACAGAAAGCAGAACCCAACCCCCGGGAGGGCATGGAAAAGGGGGAAAACGGGGGGGGGGGGGAAGAAGGGGAGGAGGACGAGAAGGGAAGAGAGGGGGAAGGAGTGGAGAGAAGGTACGGTGTATGGAAGAGGATGCAATAGATACAATGTATTTCAAGTTTCCATATACCAGCTACTTGAAAAAACGAAAATAGCAAACAAGCAAGCAGAAAACCAGGGGGTAGAGGAGAGAAAGTGAAGCAGAACAGAGATAAGGTCCCAGGGTAAAAGACGACAGGCAGAAAAGCATAGGGCCCATGGAGTGGGAAAGATAAAAGTCCAAACAGCACCGGAAAGAAATATGATAATAACAAGGTAGGTACACTTTACGGATTCTATCATATTCTTACTTTCTGCAATCGTGCGCTTTCCCACCCCTCGGGGTCCGTGAACAATCATAACTCGGTTTGCCGTGACTTGCTGCCCGTATCTTCGCAGTATTGTCTCTATAACTGGCCTTGCGACAATCTTCCACTCTCCACTGCCACCATGATCACCAGCCTTCCCCACATTCACCTTGCCCGCAGGTATTCCACCTTCGCCATTATCACCACCAACATAAGCGGAGATATCACCCGTCCCTGCCTGAGCCTCAGAACGTCGCGGATCGGAAGAAGAGCAGAAATGATTGACGCTACTGCATGGAAACACCTGCAAGCAAGCAAGCGCGCACACACACACGCACACACACACACACACACATACACACACATGCGCACGCACACACACACACACACACAC